TTTTTTTTTTCTTCTGTATTTTACAGTTAGGTGGGAGATTCTAAAAACTGTTAAGGTGAACATTATTGCACTTCTCAAAAATGGACGTTTTTTTTGTATACTGCAAAGGATATAGTTGGATTATGCAGATGCACTGTAACAGATATCGGTTACTCCACTCTTTTTGTCTTTGTCTCATCACTGGCAATTGTTGTAAAGGATTTGCAAGTGGAAGAAAAGAGGGGGTAAAAGACTGTTGAAATTTTATTTCTTTGGATATACTGTGGAAATTAAGAATATTTTATTTCAATCATTTCTAAAACGATCGAGTGAGAGGAGAAAAAATTTTGTTTTCGTTCTTCTATCTTTTTTTTTCCTAAGGTTACTGACGTTTGCAAATGATATTGGGAATTGTAATTACTAGACAATGGTAAACAAATATTCATTTCTGTAAATATGTTGGCCATTTCTGAGAACAAACCTTTAGAAGAGTAACAGATGAAGAATAGACACAGCAGCATCAGTTTTGTAAATACTGTTGAGTTTTCGTTGATTTTATTGTAGTTACGCTTTGCCATTTGTGTTTTCTTTTTCCATTTTCATTTCTTTTGACACCACAGAAAATTTTTGCAATGTCTTTTCTCTGCTGCTTTTTTTAAAAGAATTTTTTCTTGCATTAAAGAAAAACTCATGTTAGTTTACAAATTTATGCACATGCAAACTCATGTTTAGGTATAAAAGGTAGTTGTGAAGTTTTTTACAACGATTGATGTTAAAATTACGGAACTAATGTATACAAGTGTGTGCAACAAGATACAGTTTAGAGCATTATTTTTTTTTTTCGTCTGCGGTCAGCTTTTGTTTCATTAATGTAATTGAATTGTTTTATTGAAAATTTGGCTGAAATTATCATCATTTTGATAACAAAACTCAGCGAGACTTAGATAGTTGTTTTGAACGCAGTGGTGTACATTCATTTAGACAGTCAAAAAATTTATTTGCTGGTTACAGTTTTGAAATGAAGGTCACAAGAAAATGTAGGATTTTGAGATTGGTGAAAGGACTGAATACAGTATCTGGAGGCATGAAATCTGTGAAATATCTTTTTCGGTATGGGATCTGGTTTGTTAAGGCAGTAAAGATGACAAGCACTTGAAAACTGTTCCTTTTACGGCAGCAAATTTACATATAACAATTGTACTTAAATTACGTGAAGCGAAAATCAAATAAATAACCTGGAGAGTTTTATGAAGATTTCAACTTTTTGTAATTGGCTTCGAACTGTTGCGATTATTTTAACTGACGTAATTTGAGCACCGTATAGACAGTTTTTTTGCTCACTACAGGCGATCACTGTGTTTTGGCTGGTTCCACAGGACCTGCTTGGACTGGATGAAAATCAGTTGTAGTTGAGTACTCCTTTCATTACTCAGAAAAAGTACCTGATTTCTGAGCGACATTGAAAGTTACGTGACTTTGTGTTGGCTACACCATAGTGCGTTTAGCGAGCGTATCATTCTTTTTTTGGTAGGTACAAACGGTGGATGGTCACCAGTGCTGTGCTATTCTATTAATTTATCGCACTGTAAAAATGGTTTTTTGGTTAACACTTCTTTTTTTTGCGGTAGTTGCCGAGTAGGAAACTGTATATAAAAGCCACTGGGAATTTATCTGGTTAGAGCTCTTGTTTTAAAAAGTTGAAAAAGATTATTTTGATTACTGAAATAAGTTTTTTGGCTTATGAGTATTGGTGGCGTCATTTTGCCGAGTTTTTGAAAAAGTAGCAGACTGTTTTCTTTGAAAACTTGCTAACTACTGTTTTTGAATATCTTAGCTTAGTCCACATGTTTTTTCTGATGCAACATTCCTAAAGTCTTTCGCTAATCTGTAGTCATCTGCTGTAAAAAATATAGCCAGCACAATTCTAGTTTAAATGTTAGACACTTATTATGCTCAAACTCAATATCGATCAGAACTCATTTTCAGTGTAGGTTTTAAGATTAAATGTTTGCTGGAAATTTTTTTGAAATTACGGTTTTTTCACAAGTTACTTAGAGGGGAGGAGGAGTTGAATAGCAATCAGTAAGGTATGAGCTACTGTTTAGAATTTTTTGCCGGGTTGGCAGAATGTGAGATGCTGAAGATTGAAACCGATATATACATATTTTATGGTATTTTTAGGATTCCAGCTTATCTGGAAACGATTCGAAATGGCAGTATTCCTAATGCGACGATCGATTGGTTTGATAAGGCATCGTATCTATTAGAAAAGAATATTCCTGAGGAAAATGGTACTTCGTCAGTGGTGTTCTTCGGTAGTCAAGCACATAAAACTATACGAGGATTTTGCAAGCAGATACTTTATAATACGGTTCCTCATCTCGGGTATTTTTATCAGCAGCTTTTTTTACTAATCTGATTATCTTTTTTTGAGGCTAGAAGGCAGATTTCTGTGTTGAAATTATTATCGCTATCTTTAACTGTTACTTATTTGTACACTAAAAGCGCTTGTTGGCAATTTTTTACAGAAAGTTCTGATTTAACTGCTTACTGGCTGCCTGCTTTTCAAAGAATTTTCCACTGTTTTTTGATTACAAATTTTATTATTATTTTCTTTGTTTATTCGATTTTTGTGGATTTGAGTTGGCTGGAAGTTTTATCTGATATTTTCAGATTGCGCAAAGTCTTGTCATTATAATTTAAGTTTGCTTACACTTAAAGGATATTTTTTTTTCTAGAGTTCGGTACTGGGATTTAGCAATATGGATTCCAAATATATTGTTCTTTCTGTTCTTGGCGCTAAGGTTTGGTGGACTTCGTAGCAGAGTGCAGCAGACACAAAGCCCTGTGTTCAAATCTTTTTTTATTTTGGTACTGTTGTCTTCTTTACAGACATCCTCAGTATAAGAATATTTTTGGCTAATGTTTCCCGTCAGAAAATTAGACAACTGATATTCCTGGCTGTTTGCTTTGGGATCAGTTTTTACCGTAATAATATTTCTTACTTTATGTATACGCAAGTTCTTTTTCAGGTTTACTTATTAGTAGTGTTAAATCTGTTACGCTGTTTTGCTTCAATTTCGATTATCACATCTAATCAGGTCGAAGAATTTGTGGATAAGGTACATGCTATTTTCTTTGAACTTGTACTTACAACTTACTCTTATAGATTATACGCATTAAAAGTTGCGTGAATCTGCGTGGAAGATTATTGCTAACAAAAGATTCTTTACAAGTTTTTGACACAGTGCTATTTATGTCGGGGTTTCTTTTTCTTTTTGGGGTTTTAGCGTCATCTTTGCACCTAAAGTGGCGGGGGTTTGGTCTTTGAAAATTAGTTATCGAAATATTATTAGTTGTTAGGTGGCTGAAACTATTTTTTGCAGGTGCTGTGGTTGATTTTAAAATTCTTTACACTGTTAGCCGAACTCTGTGTGCTGATTTTCGGGCTTATAAGTGGTAATTTTTCAAGTAATGGCTTTTTGTCATGAATAAATCGTAAAGAAAACTATCAGTAAAAGTCACAGTTTTTTTGGACTTTTCACAAACTGTTTGGACAGCACTGACTTACTAAGACAGTTAATTAATTCTATTTTTTTTAATTGGTTACTTTTTATTTCGGCAGTCTCGCTGTAATGTTGTACAGCGTTTTTTTTCTCTGCTTACTGCACATTTAAGTTGAGCTTTAAAGTTTGCTAAGTTTCATTTACCAGACGCTTTTTAGACAGCCGAAGAAGTATACGCAGTGCGCTAATCGGTGTTCTCTTATTTTCATTGTTGCATCTGGTACTTCAAACTTTTCTTGAGTTTTATTCAGGGACTTCGGTATGCCTGACTTTGTTATTTTTCTCTATTTCCTTTTTTTGGAGTTTTTAGCTACTAGAAATAAATGGTTTTGGAGATGAAATAGGGTGATAAGGATAGTTAATTTACAGGATGTTGATGAACCAAGCGAGTTTAGCCTTTATGCGCATGGAGGAATGGGTCTTTGGATGGTATCTTCAGGATTTTTTGCCATTGTTAGTTCTTGATGATATTTATTAATATTATTGTTAATGTTATTATTATGATTATTATTGTTATGACCATTTTAAATATCGTTATTTTTCTATTATTACGGTTATATAGCATTATTAGTGATTTGAGTAGTCACTGCTACAGTATTGTAATTTAGGTATATTCGGTTGCATGCCTTATCTCAAACATGTGGACACACCACACAGCTACTGTACCGGGTAAGTTTAAAAAAGTGATTTTTAGTGACGGAAGACTTTGACAGTTTTATCTCATTGTATTTCACTTTATTCTACTCTTTTTTTTCTCCGCACATACAAAGTCATTGTTCAAATAGTTGCTGTTGACAGTTAATTGCAAATATACGCTCTTAATAGTTTCTAGTGAACTTGTTGTGTTTCCTTTTTGGCTGCACTCAAAAACGATAGGTTTTTTGCTGAAAACAGCATGACTGTGAGCACTGAGTAATGATGATAGGCAGAAACTGTTAAGACTTTTTTGGCTCGCATTCAGGATAATTTACTTCGGATAATTTTGGTTACTGAGCTTTAAAGTTGAAGATTGCTAGTTACCGGTATACTGACACTGACATTGGTTTGTTTAGTGCAATGTTTGTTCTACACCTACTGCCTCATTCTTGCAATTTTAAACGCTATCCAGATGGTTGGAGCAGCGTTGATGTTTACTGATTCGTTGGACGGGTTATGGTAAGTTGAAGCTTTAAATTCATTTAACTTTTTCAGTTATTCATGGGACTTATGTTTTACAAAGATTTATTTTAAAAACTTTTTTTTGGTTTTTGTCACGGTTGCTGTGTATTAATTGCAATAATTTCTTTTTCGTTAAAGTTTATTTATTAATAGTGCAGCAGTTAACTGTTTATTTGGAAGAATATTATTTTGTAAAAACGATGGTGAAACATTTTAAAATATTGGTGTTGCAGCCTCGTCGATCTAACGACATTCATATATTTCACGCTTTATGCACCTCTTGTGTATTTCGTCTTTTTACATCGATCTCTTAGGTATCGCGTTTGTTTCCTTAAGAATATCATGTAAAGTTGTTTTTTTTTCTTATTTAGTTTTCAGTAGTTAATAAATGATTGGTATAGCTTGATAACTGTATGAAACGCTAGTTGCAGTACGGATGCGACGCGTGGTGGTGGGCTGTTGTTTTCTTATAGAAAACAAAAAGATGAAACGAACGGTGATATACCAAATGTTTCTATCTATTATCCACATTTTCCAGGTGAATATTTAAAGACATTTCTTTGATTCCAACTTTTTTTTTGTGGTAAACTTAATTTTTGCGACTTTAATCTAAATTTCATTTTTTTTATTCTGTGACCTGCTGACTGACTTTTTGTTGTCTTTTTCATTAAGAAGAAACAGTAAGTACTGTTGAAGCCTTTAAGGTCTTACGTCTCCGTCTTACGACGACCTTTTTGACTGTGATAGTATGCGTCAACCTCGGTGTGATTTCGATGCGGGTATCGATACAAATTTTTATCATCAAACAGACCTCAATCATGTGAATGATCAGTCGAATTTCGAAGTGCCGTTGATGACGTCACAAAATACTCCGGATTCAACGGTGACCACTCACGTTGACTGCGACTATTCACCTGCAATTTCAACAAAATTGAACGGGTTTGACGATCGTGTACTATCAATGAAACCGTCGTTGTATGATGTTGGTAGCACATTTTCATTTGACATACGTCCAAAGCATTTGAGAGGTTTGGGACCAAATGGTACACTGATATTTTCGGCAGAAGATAAACCGCTAGCAAAATGTACATAAACGGGCTTATACAAGGGAGGCTTGAAAGTGAGTATGGTGGTGGTCAGTAATGGGTTTAGTGCAAGGCACGTTATTGGGTAGCGACTTATGTCGTTACCTGTTTGTTGAAAGTTGCAGTCTGTGTCCTGTACTCCAATTTGAGCAATTGGAAGGAATTGAGTGGTATCTTTGAACATTTTAATTGAGTAGATTGGTAACCAAAAAAGAAACCAAAAGAAAAGCTTGTATAGTTTGGTTTGTAAAATAACAGACCACAACGTTTAACGTGCAGGTGAAGAAGCAGTAGCTTCCTACTGATTACTTCGCTAACCGTCACCATAATCATGATCTTCAGACTTTGCTTGGATATTGTATATACGTCGACTGGTCAAGCAGATTTTCAACAATTACAGTTGTTTGAACTTTCCAATTCAGCAGTATGATTTTTTTTTTGGTGCCCATTAGCTGTTGTTTAGTTACTTAATGTCGACAGTTTGTTGTTTTAAGAAACGCTTGCATTGTAGCCGGTTAGGATCGTAAAGTTTATTGGTTTTACTTTTTTGGACTCACTTTTGTCCAAGAGTTTTTTCATCCCTCCAAATCCCAACAAGTGGCGTTACTCTGTCAGAATTATAGACTAGTGTATATATGTTTTGTACATTTCGGTGGGTCAAGCATTCTCCAAAACATAGATAATAGGAAACAAAGTTTAAGGAAGTCACTGGTTTACCAATGTATATGTTGCTGGTATTGAAACGTTCATTTTTCATTTGCTTCTGTTGGTTGTGCATTGTGACTGTGCAGTTTCTTGTTGTACAAATGGCAAACACCGATAAAACTCTGGGTCTGCCGCAAGGATGGCGTACACAACAAATTCTAAAATACGTTTTACAACACCGGAATAATCCGCTTCTGACCTTAGCCAACCTGTGAGCCTGCAGACGACTCTTATTAGACTGGCAATAGGGGGAAAAGCCGCAAAAGACGGCTGCAGTCATCTTATTTGGACGCTAACTGTATCTAATTGGTTTGCACAGACTTGTTCCTGACTTATGAAACTGAATGGGGTGTAATACATTCGCCGCTCTGGTAAAGCCAAGAAGAATAGTCAAAGCACAAGCATCGCGCTGTGTATCTTTTGATGTTTTACCAAATTCAGCTGACCTTCAAATTTTGAATGACTTAGCTTTATTATGAGCGGACAACATTGTAGTAAGTTCACCATATGAAATATTGCCACAGGATGTAGTATGAGAAAGTAACTGGGGGCCAACAGCGCACGATCAAAAAAGAAAGGCAGGACAGGCCACAAAATCTGAGTGAGCGCCGTGAGCCTGAGGTAGGCTGATAACATTCGTAGAAAACACTACACAAACGAAACAAAATTCTAATTCGTTATAAAATAAATGAGTTCAATAACGCATTTAGTCATCGGGAAGCGGTGATTAAATATTGCAATTTTGAATTTTGGAAAATAAGGGAGACCAGTCGTGGAAAGATTCCCGAAAACAGAAAAAGGAAACTTTCATCAAATCTTTTGAACAAAACGCTGCAGAGTTATACAACAAACTGGGAAATGGGGAAGAAGGGAATATTTTGTCAAGCTCCTAAAAGCGAAAGCATTACAGACCTTTCAGAATATTAAAGTATATAGTACCAGGAAAAAACAGATGACCTACAGGATTTTAGAAATGAATTGTACTTCGAAAAAACTGATTAAAGCAATACAGATCTCTAATTTGGATCTCGAAGGAACTGCTGTATATTAGTGATGAAAATACAACAAACATCGGCGAACACGCCACTTTTGTACTAGGAAAGTGAGGGGCTGCCTGTTTCTAATATTATGTTTTAGAAGTAAAAGATATTGTTTGGCAAAAATTTGCCAAACTAAGAAAGTGTTAGCTCGACTATAGATAATGAAGGACTAGTAGAGGTGGAAAAGCAGAGAGAAAATAACATATTTACAGAAACTTAACCATTAGACGAGTTGAAGTTAGTTAAGCGAGGTTTGAACAAACCAGCACTAATATTTACATCTTCTGCAAGCCAAGTATTAAAGCGCAACTAACCGAAATAAAACAGCTACAACTTAACAAGAGTTCTTTGTTTGAAGGAGCAGAAGAACAACACTTGAAGAAATTGAGAGTTAGACTAGGTACTTAAAATTTCTGGATGCACCAAACGGACTTCAGGCTGAAATAAATTATCTTCTCAAAAAATGACCTCAGTCATTTTCTTTGATCCGCTTTTTTGAAACGTCAGATGAATCTTCGGAACTCTCAAAAAACGATCGTTTTGAGTTTGCATCTACCATTTGAGATAGATCAGCCGAGACTTCCTGCAAGATAAGCGAATTGAGTACAGGCCAGCATTGATAATCTAAATTCCTAAATCTAAAGCTCAAGGATAAATTTATGCGTTGCATCAAGCATAAAACCCGCAGAACTGTATTAAGCGTATACCTTTTTGTGGCGCACCGAAGACCGAAGAATCTCCAACACTCTAATCACTGTTTCGTCAACGTTAGCTATGAGCGGAATTTTAGCAGCAATTTTTTCCAGAACAGTACGATCTATTATAACTGAAGACAGCACCCGTATTAAAGAGGCATCAAGTCTGAAATTCAGACGATTGCGAAGTACTCTCGTATAAGAAAGTGGTGTCTGAATAAAAAATGAATCTTAAAATATCAAGAGCAACAGGAAAATTGAGAAACTTACAATAATATACCACATTTTAAACATGAGTGGGACCAAAAAACTTGATTTTTTTAAAAGTCATTTGAAAACCCATAAAAGAATAGCGGAGGACTTAAAAACTCTACGACCTCGATAGCAGCAATGGTTCATCATATTTACCACTATCCATCAAAACAAGGAGTTTTTTAGCTTCTTCATAAGCTTCCGACGACCTCTGTAGAACACATCCAACCAACGTTTTTTCTAATGAAGGAGGAGCCAAGTCATACACACTTTTAACTTTATCAAAGTTCGGCCTA